CTATATACACATAAGCCAGTTTAGATAAGGAATTATCCATCTGTTTATAATGGAGACATTTATCTAGTAATATATATAGTGTATTTTTATAGTGTGTATAGTGATAACAAAATAGCTTTAGTTTTCTTAGAATAACAAGCTACTTCTACAAGTAATAACTCCATGAGGTAGATAGTGTAATTACATATAGGCTATGCAGAGGTCCAGCACATAGACGAATCGCACTAAATGTAACTATCGCGAAAGTCGCTCAATGACAAATAATGACAAATGCTTAACAAGTGAGCTTCATGATGCCGGTTCTTCAACGTACCGACAAGATAAGCAAATGCAAAAGTATAACTGGAAATAAACACATATACTTTCGCTACGGCAGGCAAATATTATAACAGACAAATACAATTATGAATCCTTAATTAAACATGGTAATCTAATGCGAAGCACCAACTACTAATTAATGCTGGGCCTAATCAAAAATCGACAGGGCCTGACGAAGATTTATGCCAAATGCTGTTTACCCATAAACGGCGGTAGGTAAATAGGAGAAACGTACCAAGTGTCAAAAAAGCATAGATGGGCTGTAAGAAACTAGACACGAATAGGCTGCCCCATATAGAGTAACTGGAGCAAAATCGACTTGGCTCTGACCGTATTTCACCAGTAACGAATCAAAACGGTTTATAGCGGTTGTCGACCCCGAGTAAAAACTATGTGGCAACTGGAACAAAAAAAGCGCGGTAAATACTAAACCGACAAACGAGCTACGAGGCCACGTCTGGCTAGAAGATCAGCCGAAATGGAAAAACAAATGTTTCGTACGTACGAGACCGTGATGTACCAAAGTGGTCTGAATAGGAATACCAAATAAAATTTGTCTAAATACATGAACACTGTTTTGGTAAAACTGAAATTCACAGTTCGAAAGATAATTTTATCTGTACGCATCAGTTAGTTGGATTCAGACCACACACCAACCAGTCTTGTATCGATCGCACTTATCATTGAAGAACAGCTGCGACGAACTTCATTCTGTCCAACAATTCTTTCCATGTTAATATGAATTTCTACCGTTTTTGCGTTGAGGCAACGTAACGGTCAGTCCTGTCTAGTCTCGACAAGACGGAAAAGGCCAACTCTCTACTGCGAGTCATGCCAATATGTACTTCTTCAGCTACCAGGAAAACGTGAAAAGAAAGTCGAAATGAAGAGCATGCTTCCGACTTCTGATATTACTTTAAGGCAACAGTTATGTAAATGTTTTATGTTTATTTATGTTAAACGAACATCACTAATGTTTTGACATTATGTAAAATGAAATTGGCGGTAAATACAATTTCGAAAAACACACTACGCTTCATAAATTTCAAATCACTGATAACCTGGTTTGATACCTGGTACTTCAGGTAACAAATACAGCGTTTTGAGACTTAAGTTAACTTTGTATGTATATGTGAATGGCAATGTTTCTCATCACTCGATCAGTAAGTAAAAGCCTATGTTGTTCGAACTAACGAAGCCAATAACCTTCTTTCCAACGACCATTTCGGCCTCGAAGTTTCTCTTCTAAAACAACCAGTACAACAAACGAGTCCATCGAACAAAACCTACCCAGATGATGAGCGACTGTGTGAAGTTATCCATTTGATTTATGTATTTGTAGCTGTTCCGTGCCACCGAATGTCTCAGCAATGGTACACTGAGAACGTCCCTGGACAGACGCCCAACATAACAAACGCACAAGTGACCACCCGTCTAACGCACCATTCCTTGTAATCGTCGAATAAGCACCGTGTAGTCAGTCCGGTTGAAGAGCAGTATAATGGAATATAATGGAAGCCAGACGAGGCTCAGTTGGTAACACCCTTTAACGAGTTGAGTTTGTCAGAAGCATCAGCAGCGGCCACGGTAGCAGTACACGAAATTGTAACATTACGAAAAAACTTAAGGTAACTTCTTCTTTCATAACGTCATCAAAGGCAGCAACCGCTGTTGCAGCAGGGGCATAGTATTAGTGTCTTTACGGACGCAAAAATTGCTTCACACAGTGGCGGTAGCCTCTAGCCGTGTTTACAGCCGCTGTTGCCATCGGCTGTACCAACGGGCCAACTGCACGCGGCATGCCAGTAGAATAATATAGAGAGGAAATCAGCAAGAACGTGACAATAGCTGTACTGCTACAGCAGCAGCTGCTGCTGATGCTGATAGTATGAAAAATTGCAAATATAGATCAGTTCTTACAGAGAACCTAACACAGTTTCATCATGATGGTAAATGCCGACCTGACATGGGAGAAGAAACATGGTAGTGGTCGACTTCGCCGTACAAGCATGGACACGCAACACAAATGGATCGGTCCAGCCGACTCTGCTGTAAAAGCACTACGTGTATGAGGGCCCTAGCGCTGCCCCCAAAAGAAATGCGGCGGGAGAGAGGGAAAAAGAATCCGGTTGGCGGGAAATTTGAATTCATTGTAGGTTTTATGTCTCTTTGTACGAGATTTGATCGGAATACTTAGGGACCACAGCAATCAATCGTTAGACCTAACTTGTACATATGCGTTTTAATCTTTAAGCAATGTAATCGCCGTCTCATTGTAGTTGCAAGCAAAGCAGGTCTTAATGCATTTGATTGTTTAGCCCGTTCGACGTTATGGTTCTAACCTTTTTTTGCTGTGGTTTATCTTCCTGCAACAACCATACGCTACACAGTTGTCTACTGTAGCCGCGAACAGCCAAACGTAAATACTATGCCCATGTATCGACAACCTAGTACCACTGTCTCTATTTTAAGATTGGGTTCGATCGAGCTATGTGAAGGTTTTTAATGCAACATCGCAAGTTACCAATCCATCAGATGATGTATTCTAATTAGAAACGGACGATTGCATCGATCTATTTCACCGGCACTGTCTCTGATTTCGCTGGCTATCTCCTACATGCCGCTGTTCCTCCCTAGCGCTGTTGTTCTGTGTCATATTGACTGCTTACGGTCAGCTGCTTCGATCTGGGCCCATCGCACAGGCCGTTGTAGCGGCATGACTTTAGAACGAAAGATAGTGGCGTCAACATCACCGAAACGCCCGGAAGGATGAGCGGAAGTCTCGTAGAAGGAACTTGCAAGAAAGACTCGCTTTCCCGTAGACTGACAATTGACGCGCGCGCGACGATACGATGTGAATATAAAATCATGTTAGAAGAACCGTCTTGACAACGTTAGAGTTTAGTGCGCAGATTCGTTTACGGAGATCAGGTTCAAATGTTCGGACATTGACGGCCCGCACCTAGCCGATGGTCGGACAGATGAGCGAAGTGGTCAATCAAATGGCCGGGAACCCCTGGCCGAAAATCCGGAAGGCCGCCAAGAGTTGGCCCCCTCGTTAGGGGCTTGCTTCTGTTGGCAATATGTGTATTTGTTGTTTAATACAGTGTGTGACTGGCACGTAGTAATAAGCATGTCGTCAAGATATTATAGCTGAATTAAATGAATACCTATTATTACCATTAGAATTATCTTGCGAACATGCGCTATCTTCACCGTCAACACTCGGACACGAACTACGATATAATTACTTCGCATGACAAAATTTAGACCGCTAACGACAAGCTGACTTCGTCAATAATGACAGTAGTAGTAAACAAATTGAGTTGATAAGGCTTCTAGAAACAATCTCTAGACGAGCTAAAGTGTTTACATGGTGCAAATATTGTGAAAGTTGTTGAGTGTTAGTTAGAAGGGCAGGTTCAGTGACGAACAACTCTGATTGTACCACGCCGAGGAGATTCTGTTGAACATTAAAGCGGTGATCGTCACCTCAAATAGCTGAGGAAAGGCCCAGGAAGCCAGAAAAACCGCGGAACTGGCTAGGGTGGGTGTTGAAGCACCTGAATTCGACAAGAGACATCACCATGTTGGAGCTACCGTTCGACGTCACTTAGGTAAACCTTTACCTAAATTGTAGGGAGCTAAATTATCAGTACGAGAAGTGCTGTTGTTTATTAGTGATTACAAAATTAATGAATTTGTTTTACGTACTCTTATATA